TATAAATACATATAATATATCATATATAATAACAAAAACAAAATACAACACAGCAAAACAAAGAAACAAAAAACCCTATGTTATTTGAATGCTTGAAATAGTATGAACTAGATGTATTATTACAAAAACACACACAAGGAAAAGAGTAAATTAGAACAAAAATTATCCACTGTTATAAAAAAATCCAGAGGGAAATTAATTATTGGTTTAGAGCCTAATAGCATTAAAAACTATCTATAGCAAAAGGCTATTGTGTTAAAATTCAACAGTTTCTATATTATCTCTCCCAATGCACAAATTAAAAAAAATAGAGAAGTATATCTAGATTTAATTTAGCTCTTTCCAATTTTGCAAATGATTGCTTTTTTATATCCATCAGAGATTTTTAATAACTTATTTGGCATGAAATTAATCATTCAAAATTTACAGTGACTTTCAATTAGGTTTTCTTTCCTTTTTAATGAAAGCTGCATCTTCAGAACAGGTTTATCATCATTTTTATTTTTTGCTGACTAACATAACAAAAAAATTCATTTTCACTGCAGTAACTGAAATGAGTGGTTACTAATAACTCTAAAATAAAAGCTTCAATAGCAAACTCATATATCTCAAAGAAGATGTCAGTAATAACTTCATAAAGGCACTTGCTACAGTATCTTGTTTTCCATCATTCTAATGTATTTCATTGATCATGAGCAAATTAGTAACATTACAGCCCTTTGTCCTTCTCACTTCCACAACAAGAGTTTGGTGTAAACATATAATCAGTAATAATCTCTACCAATTACTACCAAAGATGAACCAGAGAAATGTGACATGAGTTTCTCTACCACCACAAATATTTCAATACTTTTAGAACAAGGTTGAGATATACAAATCCATAAGGTAAAGACTTTTCTAAAAAAGCAAATAAGTTCTCAAAGAAAATTTGAAGAGCAACATCAATGACTGAAATGCTCCCCTGTTTAATGGTCAGTTTACCTTAGTTATCACCATGACTGCTTCACACTGATAAGAAATAGCAATGACAATTTAGAAAGATGCTAGCTTCTCAATAGTTGTGAAATCCGCCCATTTCTCTCCAGATACTACTGACTCCTTCCCCAAGTGCTGGTCACTATTATTGTAGTAACTTCATCACAGGTGTCTTGACTAATTCTCCTACAATTCATTCTCCATAATATATATATATAGTATATCACTTCCCTACTTCATATCTTTCAGTCTGGAATCCCACTGTCCCTGCAATAATGACAAAGTAGTGACAATGTTTCTTCTCCTACAATTCATTCTCCATAATATATATAGTATATCACTCCCCTACTTCATATCTTTCAGTCTAGAATCCAACTGTCCCTGCAATAATGACAAAGTAGTGACAATGTTTCTAAAGCCCACCACTAATTGGGCCCTGCTACCTCACAATTTTCCCTTCATTGCTCCAGCCAGGCATCTAGAACATCTTTTAGTTCCTTGATATTTCCACCCTTAACTCTTGGCTCTGGTACTTTTACATGATGCCTCTTCTGACTATTATGATCTCTCAGTCAATCATGGCTTCCATATTCTTTAAGCTTTGGTTACCCCAAATACCAACCCTGACAGAAGGACTTGGGGGCAGATCATTTTTTGGAAGCATTTTCTAAAGAAAGTGGGAAACATGAGATAAGAGAAACCAGTAATGGCACATTATTGGGAGTGCTACTACTACAGCCAGGTCTCCCCTTGGAGACTCTGAGAGACTGGAGGGAAAACATGCCTTAGAATCATTTCATTGGAGGTTAGGATTGGGACACTGGCCATCATCACCCATTCCCTATCGATTGAAGGTTGCTCCTGGGGGTGTTTAAACTCCCCATCTTCCCCAGACTAAGCTTATTTGTACTCTCAGCCAGAAGAAGAGACATAGCACTTGAGCTGGAAAGTTACTGGTAGGTTAGAAACTGTACCCACAGTTTTAGGTGAACTCAGCAGTCAGAGGGATATGGGGCAAAGCATCAAAGGGAACAGCTAAGTGTCACATCCTCAGAGAGTCATATCTTCATTTCTTGGCTCACGTTATATCTTTCTACTATATCTCATCTAGCATTTTCTACATATACGTGCATACATAAAGCAACTGCATAAGGTTCATATTGTAACTGCTTTGAGGTAAAACTAACTCAGCAAGGAGTAATTAAGCATGGCCCAAGTAGGAAAATTTAATATAAATCGAGGTTTGATTGACAATGAGGGAAATGTGCTTAATTACTTAGATATTTAAAACAAAGTGATAAAAAGTCACACTTAAAGACAAATTTTTGAAAATTATTATCCCTCTTTAAAACACACATATACACCCATATATACACACACAAAACCAAAAAACAACAACAACAAAACACTAAAACATAAACAAAACAAACACTAGAATTCCATGAAGTACTTTGAAGTGAAATGATGATATGTTTAACATAATTACCTTTGGATAATTGGATAATTATTCTGTCTGTGTATGGCATATAAAACAGGCATTGAGAGAGCTGAAGGAAGTGTTATTCATTCAATCATGCAGTCAACAATCAATTATTCAACACCTTATATATACCAGGCACTAAGTCAGGGACTAAAGAATAAACAGTAAATAAGTCCCACCCAGTTCCTTCCTTCAAGGAGTTCACCAAGGGGTAAGGGGGATCACAGAAGGATAAAGGATAGGAGCAGGCAGAGTAAGGACCAGGAGAGACACCTAACCCAGAGGAGATGGCACTGAGACTGACTCTTTAAAAGGAACTACAGCTAGATGAGACCCAAAGGTATGAATCAAACTACAGGATGTCCCAAAAACATGTATACACACTTTACAGCTAATAGCTCAATTTTGAAAATGAAATGCATTTTAATAAACAGTGCCTTTATAATTATTCAAAGTCTGTGTATTCATTTTTTGGGACCCCTACGTATGTAGAAAATAAAATTGGAAGGATGCCATGATTAATTAGACATAACAGTTGGGAGTGAGAGAAGACAGTCTAGACTAAAGGACAGGTTTCTAGCTGAGGGACTGGTGGATCACAGTGACACCAATTGAGATGATGAATACAAGAAAAAGAGTTAATTTGGTTAGGTGTGAGAAAGCCTGCTGTGTCATTAATTAGTGAGGGTTCTATTAACTGTAACCAGAAAGACTCGCAGAATCCTGGACACTGTCAAAAAAAAGCCATTATCAACAAAAAGAAACATAATATTGAGATGATGGTATCACTAGAGGCCTGGTGAACAAAATTCGTGCACTGTGGGGGGAGGGGCTTCTCAGCCCAGCCTGCACCCTCTCCAATCCGGGACCCCTCGGGGGATGTCCGACTGCCGGTTTAGGCCCGATCCTGGGGCCAATTGAGATGGTGAATACAAGAAAAAGAGTTAATTTGGTTAGGTGTGAGAAAGCCTGCTGTGTCATTAATTAGTGAGGGTTCCATTAACTGTAACCAGAAAGACTAGCAGAATCCTGGACACTGTAAAAAAAAAAGCCATTATTAACAAAAAGAAACATAATATTGAGATTACGGTATCACTAGAGGCCTGGTGAACAAAATTCATGCACTGTGGGGGGGGGGAGGCTCTCAGCCCAGCCTGTACCCTCTCCAATCCAGGACCCCTCGGGGATCGGGCCTAAACTGGCAGTCGGACATCCCTCTCACAATGCGGGACCACTGGATCCTAACTGCTCACTTGCCTGCCTGCCTGATCGCCCCTAACTGCCCCCTCTGCCGGACTGGTCACCCCAAACTGCCCCCCTGCTGGCCTGGTCACCCCCAACTGCCTCCCTGCCAGCCTGGCCACCTCTTACTGCCCCCCCTGCTGGCCTAGTTGCCCTCAACTGCCCCCTTGCTAGGCTGATTGCCTCTCACTGCCCCCTCTGCCAGTCTTGTTGCACCGCCCTGCCAGCCTGGTCACCCCACGCAGCCTGCTGCTCAGTCATTTGGCCGTCCCTCACTAACCCCCCTGCTGGCCTGGTTGCCCCATGCAGCCTGTTCGGTTGTCTGTTCAGTTGTTTCGGTTGCAATGGTCGCGTAGGCTTTTATACATGTAGATTAATATACCCTGAACATTATCCTATCTTGGATATCATCCCTTAAGAAATACCTAATGTAAAAGAGAAAATG